TAGTCGTAGTAGTGGGAGTAGGAGTAGTAGCAGTCGTAGTAGTAGTAGTAGTAGTAGTAGTAGTAGCAGTAGTAGTAGTAAGAGTAGTAGTAAGAGTAGTAGTAGTAGTAGTAGTAGTAGTAGTAGCAGTATTAGAAGTAGTGGTAGTAGTGGTAGTAGTGGTAGTAGTGGTAGTGGTAGTGGTAGTGGTAGTGGTAGTAGTAGTAGTAGTAGTAGTAGTAGTAGTAGTAGTAGTTGCAGTAGTAGCAGCAGCAGCAGCAGCAGCAGTTATAATAATGGCAGTCGTGCTGTTCTTTGTGCTCTTGCTGGTAGCGGTGGCGATGGTGGTGGTGGAATCTTTGGCATTTGGTACTGACTCATGCTAGCACTAGTTTGCTAGTGGCGGTAGTCGTAGTGGTAGTCGTCACCTGTCCCCACACCGGTGACATCCTGTTACACCAGGCAGGAGGGAATAGCTGTAATGCTGCACCTCATAGCTGAGACCAACCGGTCCCTCGGCGGGCTCCAAGCGCATGTCCCTGCCTGCAACTCACTGCGTGACGAAGCACCGCTTACTAAAGTCGAGCAAGCACAGATGCGTCGCTGCTAGAGTAATTCTAAACAGTCTATTGAGACGAAACGCTATGCACCTACCAAGCTCCGGCCTCTCCAGAATCGTACATCTGGCGGAGCTCCATTTGCGGCGAGCTGAGATGACTCCATGCCATGGGAAGCGGTATTAACGTCTCGTCGAAATCATGTGCACAAGGCTAGCGGACATTTAAAGGTTGCGCGATGATGCCCGCTGAAGATCAAGCTCACAGGTTACCCGGTCGCAGAAAGCAAGCTGCGGTCATGCTGTTATGCTGTTGAAGCAGGAAGCAGCCTCTGTCGGGTTTCTTTGGGGTGGCCCGTGTGTCTGAGCCAGCTGACAGCAAAGCCCCCCGACGACGGCAACGAGTCTGCTTTGTAGATGAATGCAATGCACACTACGCACGTTTTCGCATCGCCGACAAGCAGATGGATGTTGCTTGTCGTTGACATTATCATGTTTCGATGTTTCGCGCATGCGGGGGCTTCCCGGTGACGTACTCACTCACGACATGAGGACTTGTTCTGCAGACCAAGGAATAAGCAAGAGCAGCACGGCTACTAATTAGCTTTCAGCAGGAGGCAGAATCAATGCCAAGCAAGACGTGAATGTCGCTGCATGCTGGCTGTTCAAATCAAGTGACCAGGGCTGAGGCCCACGCATGCCATTGCTGAGAACTGGTGATGTGGGCGACTTGTGCAGTGGGGGCCGAGGCACCTGCCAAATGCAAAATGGGATACGGCATTGCAGGCCAAGCTTCAGTCCAGGCCAATCTCTCGCTAAGCTCCAACTAGTTGCAACGTCAAGGGGAGGCTGGGAAGACTCAATATTTCCATTGCAGTCAGGACATGCCTGGGAGGACTCACGAGAAGGCGTCGGGGTGGACTGATCTGTCGCTCGAGTAGAACCTCAGTGATGAGAGACTGAATGGACAGCACCAATGCTCTGGGCTGTTAGCAGTTATAACGATGAGAAACCCGTGTGTTCTGCAAGGCCAAAAACACGACGGGTATACACGGAGAGCATACGTGTGAGCAGGTGAGGATGTTTGAACGTTCCCAAACAAGCATACACACATACATCCATGCATGCACCACAATTTGGCATGTAGATATCTATATCATACAAACATCTACACAGGGCAGCCGCCTGCACTTGTACATATAGGCTTATACAGACGTGATTAAACACTCGTGGTGCCAAGTACAAAATAGGACAGAAATAGGCTTGATCACGAAGCGTCCTGAGCAGGCAGCTCTCCGATGGCAAATCTGGCTGCTTCCGCCAAACTGGTACCTGCGGAGGTGCTCAACCCCTCACTTCATACTGCCTGCAACAGATTCTGCCAGGCAAATTGAAACATGATCTTGCGATATAAACAAACATAGACAGATAATTACATGTACGCGTGCATGCATGTGTGAATACTTCGATGTACACAGGAATTCATCTATGGCTCATCCAGTCACTCACCGATTCGTGTAAACGGGGCTGCATGCACAGACATAGACAAGTGAGTGCGTTCTGTTTGTTCGTGTTCTTGTCAATTGTTTGCTGGCTTCCTGGTTTGTTGGTTTGTTGGTTTGCTTGCTTGCTTGCCTACCTGCCTGCTTGCCTGTTTGCTTGTTTGCATGTGTGTGCATGTGCTGTCTTCCATTCTCTGGTTGTGTCCTTGGTTGTTCCTGCTGGCTTCTTGATGGTATGCTTGATTGGTTGATTGTCTGGTCTTGTGTGGGCATTGTGTCTTTGTTTCCTTTCTCTTGCGTGTCGTGTTTCACGTTGTTGCGCTTCGTTTTGTGTTGCTGAGTTGCGGTGTGCGTGTGTGCGTGTGTGTCCCTTCGCGTGTGTGTGAAAATCCGGAAAAAACCTACTAATGTAGGGGCCTTGATAATTATAGGAGCTTTTAGGCTTTTTTGCAGTATACTAAGATTGGTAACTAGTAGGCCCCCGTACAGTAATCCGGAAAAAAAGCCTAGACCGTAAACCCCCATCTCGCGGGGTTGTTTCCTCAGCATATTGGTTCCCTGTTGTCACATCTCAAAGGTGAAAGACATAGCTGAGACTGTACATCCGAATCCGAAGCCCGACACTTCCGGTGTAGGGTTTCGGGTTCAGGGTTTAGGGCGCTAAACCCTGAACCCTGAAACCCCAGGGTTTAGGAATTCATACTTCATCCGATGCAGAGGGACGGAAGGGGTGCAGAGGCGCTCCGTCCGATGAAGCTCTCCCCTGCACCCTAGGAAAACGTACCTGCACGTACCTGCATTGGTCTACGCCTGGGCTTCGCCGTGGGCAGCTGGCCGGGCCCTCATCTTCGTTCATCTTTCATTTCATCTCGTGCTTCGTCATTCCTTTGTGTCTGGCGTAGCAAAGGGTAGAGACCTTACCCCTCACGGATTATCACACCTTGCTTTTCGTATGCCATTCCGTGGGCCTGGCATACTTGGCACAAAATTCTGATCTCATGTTCGTCCGCATCATCATCATCAACATCATCTTCAACATCATTATGTTTCATTCAACAACACCCCGCCCCACCCTTCTTTGCTTCTCCTGACCTCTTCCCTCAGCCGAAATCCTTCAGTGTGATTCAGCGTGGGTCTCGGAGACTCCAGAGCAGCGGCTTTCCTTCAAGGCGCCGTGGTGGCCCTCCAAAATAGCTGGCCAGGAGCCGAATAATTGGGCTGACCTCTCGGGCTGTCACTCCCCGTGCACCTAATCAACCGGCTGTCCGGAACTATCTAGGGCGATTATTCTACTACACCAGCGTCATGTGCAGCTGACATGAGGGCACGTGCAGTAACGATGCGTCTAATTCAAGTGCAAGAGAGCAGGACTACGTCGCTAGTCTGTCCCGTGCTGCGATCGTTGACCTCATTGATTGCAAGAGCATGCGCACCTGACATGAATGTGCAGTAACAAGCTCTGCTAGCGCGCTGCTAGCTTACGAATCGGCACCTCTCGTCTTCATACCTCTCTCCCCCCGCCAGGGCAACCCCATACCCCATTTTGAGGTCCTCGAAGGGCTGGAGACCCTGGGTGCCTTCGTGCACAGTCCACCCATCTCGGGTGCCTTCGCGCACAGCTGGGATCTGAAAATAATACTTCCTGCTGCTGGCCTTGGACCCCGTCGGGCTTACATACGCACATAAAGGTACCTACCTACCTACCTACCTACCTACCTACCTACCTACCTACCTACCTACCTACCTACCTACCTACCTACCTACCTACCTACCTACGTACGTACCTACCT